CCCCCCCAATATGGAAACTCACAAAGGGACCCTACAGAGCGCCCCTTAACCACCGGCCCCCACCCCGTGTGGAAGGTAACGGGAGGTCGAAGTGAGAAGAAGGAGCCAAAAAACTGCACTCGCGCCTCCTTCCAATGCGGAATCGTTGGAAACAAAAACAAGAAAATCAAGCAATCATCAAAGAACCATACGAGATCAAGACGTGTCGCCATCATCCATTCTACCCTCCCCCCACCCCACCCCACCCCACCCATCTAGTCGCGCACCCCCTAAAGAAACTTCTCTCTCATACTCGTATAATGTTTCCAAGGTACCCCACTCGTGGTCACGATTCATTTCTGTGAATAATTGCGTCACCCTTCCGTTATTTTTATTCTATAGTGTGTCTGCATCAAACCCAACTCCCTTTTTTAAGCAAGATCCAGGAAACCTCCAATTGCTACCTGGCCACAGCTATCCAGGGACAGCGCGCCTCGAGAAGCTGTAGATCCGTATCCACCAACTCCTGCCGAAGCAAAGCCTGCTGGTGAAGCAATTCAGCAAGCTCAGAAAAGACATGAATATGAGAAGCAATAGATTGCATTTTTTCATATAGTCTTGACGAGTTATTTGCGTAACGGGTGCGGGAGCGGTTTTTCCTATACTCCTCCACGTCATCGTATTCCTCGTCAGGGATAGGCAATACTCCCTCAACTGTGGCATTGACGTAATGCTGTAGTTCCGGGATAAGGCAGACAAAACGTGCGAGACGCACCTCGGTTGGAGTGATCTTCATGACTTCAGGTCTAAGTGAGACGGAGGCGATATCAATTTGGCCTTCGCGAATGCTTTTCGCCTTCTTCAGACCCTCATGAAGCCGTTGCAGACGCTTCTCAACCCAATACTTTTTGACGGCCTCCAAAGTAGCCACTATGAATTTGGCATTCGGGGGCCGTCCTCTTCGCGTGGGTCGTGTAGTTCCAACAAAGTCTTCCATAGTTACACGGAGGAGAGCCTCCGCTTCTGCAATCTCCCCCATTCGTGCTAGCCCCAGCTCCGAGTCTAACACTACGCCAAAGTGCGCACGACAATACATGTGACATCCATCCCATGGACCCGAGGTATGTGCGTGATGCGGAGCCCGGTAACACTCCAAGGTACCGGCTTGCTGTGCGCATGAGGGGTGCATTGACTCAAAACAGCGAGGGTGATGACATCTCTCACGCGCCCCCGCACTTTCACTGTGACAGAATACACAGTAAGCCAATCGATCTGACTTCCTTGCACGTTTTGCGGGGTGCACCACCCGCTGCTTCACGTCAATGGTCAGCTCCCCAAAGGTGAGAGCACACACAATGTGACAGAAAAAAGAATTAGCAGCAGCACCTTTGCGTTGCCATTCATGACCCGAGACAAACGGCAGCATTACCCCCCCTTTTCGCCCACATGAATAGCAACGTCCAATGCCCTTCTCACGTCGCGCCCCCACGCAACATGGACAAAGCCAATCGTCTGAATTAGGCGGTAAGGCTTCTAAAATCCAACACTTCACGTGTGCCTTACATCCACATCGTCTGCATTGAAGGAAACGTTCGGCCTCTTCCAGAAATTCTGGCCTCAAACAAACACCACATATCTCCACAGTACGTTTATCCGACTGTTTAGGGACGGCATTATTATCATTGTTATAGGTGCCATTAGCGGAAGCATCCAAGTTAGTTGAGGCTTCGTCCCGCCTTGCTGCAAGCCCAAGATGCATGACGTAGCTCTTTTCCAGTTTTGTAATGACTTTCGTGAAAAAAGCACTAACGACATTTCTTGCATTACACCAAACGTAGTCCTCGTGGTCCATAATATAGCTGCAGCGATCAAAGAGATCGACACGCCGCAGCAATCCATATGGAGTGCTCTCGCGCAGCGCCTGAGCTCCCCAGCCCACACGAGCTGAAGGCAAAGCAGAAGATTTTGGAACACGATCAATTGTAAAAGATGGTCTACCTCGTTTTCTACTTAGTCGCTGTGAGCTTGATCGCCTTGCAAAAAAGTTATGTTTGTCATCCATCCCATCATCAGAGAGTTCCTCCTGAATGATTTTGTAGGGTTTGTACTTGGCTCTAACCTCATCCATATTCTCCACAAGCACAAGAGGAAGAACTGTGTCACAGTTCAATGCAATGCGCAAGGATTCATCACCTGCTTTTGCCTTTTTTGTTTTTCCTTTTTTTGCCATCGCTAGGATGGAACCACCACACCTGTCCTTTCCTTCCCTTGACACAAACTTTAAAAAATAAACCGGCACACCCTTCTTCGTTTTAAAACCAATACACACGCGCGACGCAAAGCAATGCCGACCCCGTGCTATACAGTAACAGGTGCGCAACCACACATGTCACTTTGACTAGATACAATGGTGCCGGCAAAGGTGCGTACAGAGAGCGAGAAAGAAAGGGAGAACGATGTAGTAAGAAAAAAAAAATCTTTGACATTTCATCCAGCCTGGTTCTTCCATTAAGGAAGAGACATCATCATCGTAGTGAAGAAGAGCAGCAACAGCTAAAAAGAAAAGGAAAAAAAAAGAGTTTTTTTTTCTTTTCGTTTCTTTCCCCTGTATTCAACCACTGTTGGTGATACCACTTTTTTTTCTTGCTTTTGACTCCCTTCTCTTCGTGAGTTTAACAGAGTCTTAAACGGAATTCATTTCTTTTCTGTCATTTCATAGTTTTTTTTGTTTTTTTTCTCTCTTCCTCTTACTGCGAGGAGTTTGCACCTTCCTTCCTACTTCCCTCCTTTTTTTTTCTTCGTCCTTTTTCTTCTGGGTGCCTTCTCCTCCCGTCCCAAAAACCGGTATACCCGCCGCCTCACAACGCGTAGTTCGTGACCTTCTGCTTTTCACCGACAGAAAGCACAGGAACGGTTGGGGCAAAGGCCAAACTCTGAATAAACTGGTGACGCTGCGAAACAGCAGGAAAGGACGGCACGACACGGCACTCTGGGAGCACGGCGAGACGAAATCCACCCTTCTGGGCCTTGGTCGAGTACGCAAGCACCGCGTCACCGTTGCTGCGTTCTCCAAATGCCAAACAATTGATGCTTGTCGTCAGGTTCTTGAGAGTCTTCGCGGGTCCTGCAGAGCCCTTGTTGTAAATATTAACAATACCGCTTTTAGACCCTACAGCCAAGGCAGAGTCGGAGGTGGCAAACGTTGTGATGTCTACGGTGCCATCGTCACAGGTTTCACACAGAAACTGAGCAGTCTTGCGTAAATCGTACACCGTCAGTTTATTACGCGTGGCAATAGTTACTTCATGTGGACCTCCTGAAAAGCAGATATCCACAACAGGATCGCTACTCTCGATGCGATGGGTGACACTACCAGATGACAAGGACCCAATTGTCACGGTGGCTCCACTTGATATAGCCACCAGCCTGGTGGATAAATCAGTTGCCGGCAATGCCACGTTGGTGATGTAAAAGTCATGCTTTCCATTGTCCCGTCGGCCATTGCGATATACGGCGGAATCACGCGTAAAAAGAAACCTCAACGGAATCAGTTTTTCCGTAGCGAGCACCAATAGATCTGGTGTGTACGACTGATGTCCCACAATTACAACGTCTTCGCCTGAGGCCCCAAGTGCTGTGTGCTCGACCCGTTTCTCCACATCTGTCTTGGAGAGCTGCTCCACAAACTTGCCGGCTGCATGGAAAAGGTACAAGTGGTGGTTGCCACCTACCACTGCCAGCTGCCCGTTGCGATGCCACTGAACCGTCCGTGCAGAATCACGAGGAAGGGGAAGCACGGAAAGGACAGGTGGAAGAGCAGCATGCTTGCGGTCGTGCTTCGACGTCAAAAGTGGCTCCGTCCGCGCGAGAAGTTCGTCCAGGTCCTTATCACGAAATCTTTTTTGGGCTGTCATCATCAGTGCGGATGAGGAAGAGACGACGACCTCACTTCTGGCTGCACCATTGTCGCCAATAACGCTGCGGTCTGCATGCGTGGACGTGGTGGCCCATGCGGGAAGCACATGAGACTGCTTCACAAAACCTGGCAGCTCCTCACCCGCGTTGTGATCTGCATCGTCCACCCAAGCACGAGACGCCATCTAGGCAAAAACGATGGTAATGATAATCACACAACAGCAACGTCCAAGCCACCGTACTGATCACAAACGAGGAGTACAGTGCATCAAGGGAAGCAAAGCAGAAAAAAAAAAAAATGGAGAAAACGAACAAGAAACGAAGGAACAAATCACGGTAACAAAGCCACTTACGCGCGGTCGCTGACCACCAACTGGGGCGTGGCAATGGTTCCTTTTGGTTTTATGATGTTTAACGAAAGCTGATGATGAAGAGGTGAATAAGACAAAACAAAAAAATGAGGGGTTTCGCACGCGTCTCACTCCCATAAAAACAGTCACTACAGGCGAAATGCAGCAATGCCCAGTAAACAGCAGAGAAAATATACATATAAAAAAGGTCCCCCCACGCAGAAAAAACCAGAGACCTTTCCAAACGACGGTACGTGTAGGGCAAAGAAAAGGTTTCAGCAGCTGTGATGCAAGGGTATTAGCGTAAAATGTAAAGAAACACCTGCACATCAGGAGATGCATACAGCATCATCACATGACCATAAACCCACAGAGAAATAAATAAATAACGTGGGCGCTTGCTCGCACGTACAAGAACAGCTACACATCATCATAAAGATGGAAAGTGCCTCTCTGCATGAGGCCTTGGATCATATTCCCAGAAGGAGGGAGTAAACAAAGAATATGGGAATTTCAGCTTTGGTGAATGCACCCAATATCATCAACTTCAGATGAGACTGATCCAACACACTCGCGCATTTATAAACCAACGAATTCACAAAGCATAGGGCCATGTTAACTGCGCCCCCCCCCCCACCCCCCCCAACTATGGAAACTCACAAAGGGACCCTACAGAGCGCCCCTTAACCACCGGCCCCCACCCCGTGTGGAAGGTAACGGGAGGTCGAAGTGAGAAGGAGGAGCCAAAAAACTGCACTCGCGCCTCCTTCCAATGCGGAATCGTTGGAAACAAAAACAAGAAAATCAAGCAATCATCAAAGAACCATACGAGATCAAGACGTGTCGCCATCATCCATTCTACCCTCCCCACCACCCCCCC